ATGTCGGTCTATTAGTCTTTGTAATGTTATAAAAATTCTTACTAAAATTCTTATAAACATATGAAAGCCATTTCTTTATAAATGTATTTCTCAAAATCATGATGCTTTTGTACTAGCAGTGGTAGATTTAGGAATTTTTTAAGAAGAGGGGCAGTATTTAAAAGGCTAAAAGCTATATATATATATATATATTTCAGACAACTACATATCCATAGAATTTAAACAATAGTAATTCGGTAAAATCTCATTAAGGGATTTAGTCGAACACATAGTTGTAGGCAGGGACACATAGATAAGTTTTTTGTAGGCTCATGTTTATATGAGACCATAAGAACAGTTTAATAAAGCGAGCTCATTTTCTATCATTTTTCCCTATAATCCACTAAAACATGGAGCCCACATAATGGACATGAAACTAAATGTTTCACTAAAGAGGCCATGTGTTGTAAAAATAAAATAATTAGAGCATGGGAAGTATCACTGAATATTGGGAGTAGAATTATATTTTCTCTTTGTGGTGTTTACACTAGCAGAATTTCTTCTCAGATAGAACTTACTGACCCTCATATTTCTCACTCTCTCTTCTTTCTTCTCACTCTTCCTTTCTTCTCTTCTCTTCTCCGTTGGTGTGTCTTTGCAAGTAAAAAGGATGTCTATTTATAGGCAAAGCAAATGGCACCCGTGAGTGATAAGAGAGACATCATGATGCTTCTATCCAACATTATTATTAACCTTTTGACTAATATCTCCTTCTTTTCTTCATGTGGGATTCACCATTTTCCTTTACAACACTCCCCCTTAGAGACCACATGTCCATATATTGGTTGCCTCATTAAAACCTTGCTTAGAAAAACCCAGTGGGAAAAAGCCTAAGTGAAGGAAAAGAGTACAACTTTATTTGGGACATAAGGGTAATGTTAAATGCACTCATGTGGCCTCGTTAAAACCTCGCTAGGAAAAACCCTAGTCGAAGAAAAAAGAGTACAACACACGTATGTCCTGTGTTAGAGGACTCTTGAATGCTCTCCCTAATTTTGCATGCTCCAATTTGATTGCTTGCAGAGTTGTCGTAATCCCATGCCATGCACTAACTTTTGGAATGTACATTTTGGCAAAGGTTTGGTGAAGAGATCTGCCAGGTTATCGCTTGAATGGATTTGTCTGACTTTAATTTCTTGACTCTTTTGAAACTCATGCATGTAGAAAAACTTTGGTGATATGTGCTTGGTCCTGTCACCCTTGATGTATCCTCATGTGATCCAAGCAATACAAGCTACATTGTCTTCATTCAGGATTTTTGGAGTGTCCGTTGCTGAGGGTAGGGCACATGTGCTTTGGATGTGATGGATCATCAACCTTAACCAAACGCATTCACGACTGGCTTCATGTGGCTACCAATGTTTGTTTTGTTGAGTGCCATGAGATTGTAGTTCCTCCACATGTAAACACATACCCAGGTTTGTGAGCTTCCATGATGTGGATCAGAGTGATATCTTGCATCAGCATATCCAACAATACTCGGGGCATTGGTTGATTCACTGGAATAGAATAAGCCCATGTATGTTGTCCCACAAAGATATCATAGAATATGTTTGATGCCGGTCCAATGTCTGCTTGTTAGAGCAGAGTTGTATCTTGCTAACATTTACTAAAAATGTTATGTCAGGTATGGTACATTGTGCTAAGTACAATAAAACACCTATTGCACTAAGATATGGTACTTCTGGACTAAGGACCATTTCATCATCTCCTTTTGGACGATATGGATCTTTCTTAGTGTCAAGCGACCGAGCAACCATTGGAGTGCTAAATGGATGGGCTTTATGCATGCCAAACTGCTTCCATACCTTTTCAGTATAAGTTGATTGATGCACCAAAATCTCATTAGCACTGTGCTCAATCTGTAAGCCAAGACAATATTTTGTCTTTCCAAGGTCTTTCATCTCAAACTCGCGTTTGAGATAATCAGCAGTCTTTTAAAGCTCTTTAGGAGTTCCAATTAGATTCATGTCGTTGACATATACTGCCACTATCGCAAATCCAAAGTCTGATTTCTTAACAAACACACATGGGCAAATAGGATTATTTGTGTATCATTCCTTCAGTAAATACTTATTGACACAATTGTACCACATTCGCCCAGATTGTTTTAGCCCATACAATGATATTCTCAATTTAATTGAGAACATGCCTCGTGGTTTATTCATGCCTGCTTCAGGCAGCTTAAGTCCTTCTGGGACTTTCATGTATATATCTGTATCCAATTCTCTATATAGATATGCGGTAATGACATCCATAAGTCTCATTTTAAGTTTTTCTAAAACCACCAAGCTTATCAAGTAACGGAATGGAATTACGTCCATTACTGGAGAGTATTTTTCCACATAATCAATTCCAGGTCTTTGTGAAACACCTTGCACAACAAGTCGCACTTTATACCTTGCAATTTCATTTTTCTCATTGCACTTTCTTGTAAATACCCACTTGCAACCTACAGGATTCACACTGGGTGGAGTTGGAATGATAGGTCCAAAAACACTTCTTGTTTCTAAAGAATTCAATTCTGCCTGGATTGCATCTTTCCACTTAGGCCAATCCTGTTTTTGTGTGCATTCATCAATGGAGCAAGACTCAATATCATCATTTTTTTTTTCTCAGTAGCCACTGAGAATGCAAATATATCATCGATGATCATCTCGTTTCTATTGCACAATTCATCAGTAGACGTATAATTTAAGGAGATTTCTTGACTTTTAGGTACAACTGTTAGTTCAGAGGCGCTTGTCTCACCGATGACGTTTGCCTCTTCGTAGGCATTTGAATTATGAATTGTACGCTCTCCATTTATTTCATTTTGATTCATTTTGACCATCGACTTCCTCTTTTGAGGGACTAAGTCCTTTGAGCCTAATGGTCTACCATGCTTCAGGCGTGCAATAGATGAATCATTTGCTGGCACATTGTTTTGTCTTTTTTGGACATCAATCCTCGCATGTGCATTTGCAGCTGGGATATGTGATTTTGTCACCTTTGTTGCATCATTGAATGCATATAGCATCTGATTTGCAATACTTTGGAGGTGAACAATCCTTCTCACTTCGTTTTCGCATTGAGCGGTATGAGGATCAAGATGAGACAAAGTGGGTACATCTCACGATAATTCACGTAATTCTTCAGGAACGAGTTTGCCTTGTTGTTCTTTAGGAACAAATTTTTCTCCCCCTAATAGTGGGAAAATTGTCTCATCAAAATGAGAATCCGCAAACTGTGCAGTAAAGATATTACTCATCAGGGGCTCCAGATATCTGATGATAGATGGTGAATCAAAACCAACATAAACTCCCAATCTGCGTTGAGGGTCCATCTTAGTACGTTGCGGTGGTGTCATGGGCACATATACCGCACAACCAAAAACTTTTAAATGTGAAATGTTTGGTTGATTACCTAACACTAGTTGTATTGGAGAATATAGATTGTTGGCAACGGGCCTCAACCGCACAAGTGATGTTGCATGTAAAATGACATATCCCCAAGCAGAAATTGGCAACTTTGTTTTCATTAACAAAGTGTGTGCTATCAATTGAAGACGCTTAGTTAAAGCTTTTGCCAAGCCATTTTGAGTATGAACATGAGGAACAGGATGTTCAATGTCAATGCCTAGTGACATGCAGTAATCATCAAAAGTCTGAGATGCAAATTCACAAGCATTATTGAGTTTGATTGACTTAATGGGATAATACGGGAATTGGGCTCGTAATTTAATTATTTGAGCCAAGAGCCTAGCAAATGCCATATTCTGAGTGGACAAAAGGCAAACATGCAACAATCTGGTAGATGCATCCACCAATATCATAAAGTACTGAAATGGTCCACATGGAGGATGAATAGGAATGTCCCCTTGGATTCTCTGTAAAAATGATGGAGACTCAACATCAACCTTTGGTTGTGATGGTCTGATCACCAACTTCCCTTGTGAACAAGCTTGGCAAGAACTGATACTTGATACCATAATATATTTTGTCAACAAGGGATGTCCTTTAGAGTTGGTGATGATCCTACGCATCATGGTGGATCCAAGATGACCCAACCGGTCATGCCAAAGCTTAAAATTACTTGAGTCAATGGACTTCTGGTCCACGACACTATATGCCTCAATTGTCCGTATGGTTGTATAGTACAACCCTGATGAGAGTGCACAAAGCTTCTCTAGTGTACGCTTATGGGTATCACTAGAGGTAATGCAAAGATATTCCATATTTTCCTCATTCTTTGTTTCAACATGGTAGTCATTCAAACGTATATCTTTGAAACTCAACAGATTTCTTCTGGAGTTAGATGAATATAAGGCATCTTGAATGGACAGTATTGTTCCATTTGGTAACATGACTTAGGCTGTTCCTGAGCCTTCAATCAGATCTGCAGGACTTGATATGGTTGTTACCTTTGCTTTTGTAACCATCGAGTTTGAGAAATACTTTCGATCTCAAAGGATCGTGTGAGTAGTCACACTGTCTGCGAGACAAATATCTTTGCTATAGCTTTTTTTTTTTGGGGACATCCATAATTTATATCCATGCCTTCAAATAAATAAAATAAGCTGAATCAATAAACAATTATTCAATGTAAAGAAAACATTGCCACTTTTATTGGATTGAAATGAAAATTAAAGACAGTACTTCAGATAATACAAATGGTACATTAAGGAATTTAATCTAACTCAGACCCATAAACTTCATTCCTTCTTTAAGTAGCAAAATCAGAAACTTCCACATGCGTCTTGTCTAACTAATGCGATATTTCTGATGGGCCATCTATGGCTGGCGGATTTGGTATAACATGCAATGTAATTTGTCTCCATTTTCCTGTTCTTAAGTAAAGCTTGATAGAGATCCACCAAATGCTTCGATGTACGGCATGTACACTCCCAATGTCCCTTTGCACCATATATGTGACAAATGCTTTCAACATTTCTAGGTACATGGCTTATCTGTGCCTTCCCCTTATTCCGAGATGTATTTTTTGCCATTCGTGAATAGATTGTTCCTTGGACCTAAGCCATATGAATGAGCACCACGATCTTTTCTACTCCCTTGCCAGGGGCCATGCTTGCCTCCTTGCCCACGTATGTGGATACTGCCACGAGATGAGGTGGCATTCACTTCCTGAGATGCAGCATTTACTTCAAGAAGTGATGCTGAGCCCGTTGGGCGAGATTGGTGACTCTTCAATAAAAGCTCATTACTCTGCTCAGCTAAAAAAAGGCAAGATACAAGTTTTGAGTACTTCGTGAAACCACTATGCCTATATTGTTGCTGCAGGAGGACATTTGAGGTATGAAAGGTACTAAGAGTTTTTTCGAGCATATCCTCCTCAGAGATATTTTCACCACATAACTTCATCAAAGAGGTGATTATGTGCATAGTTGAGTTGTACTTAGACACTGTCTTGAAATCTTGACATCTCAAGTGTGTCCATTCGTATCTGGCTCTTGGGATGTATATTTCACATAGAGCTTTCCATAGAACTAACGGTTCATCAACCACCACATAGTTGCTTTTTAGTGCTTCATGAATGTGGCGGCGAAGAAAAATCATGGCCTTTGCGTTTTCTTCAAGCGAAGCATCACTCCCATCTACAATTATTTTTCCAAGGCCATTGGCACGTAGATGGATCTTGGCATCCATGACCCATGATAGATAGTTGTCTTAAAAAATGTCCAAGGCAGCAAATTCCAACCTTGCCAAGTTTGCCATCTTCAAAAAAAAAAAAAAAAAAAAAAGATGCATTAGAATTTGCAATAATCTTTAGACTTAATATATTTTTGAACTTTAGGACAAAAATATCTTGCATATTTTACCCAAAACTTTAGGCTCGGGATCTGGGAAATTAAGCCATTTATTAATAGGAACTTTAGGCCCTATAATTGTTTGAGGAACTTCAGGGCCTCATTATTCATGTATATTAATTGATGATAAAAATAAAGTGCTGTAAATTTGCTGGTATGGACGATAAACCCGCACCATACTTTAAATGAAAGTAAATGTGCGATAAAGTAAATTGCTTGTTATATGGACGTTAATTCCGCACTATACCTTAAATAAAAGTAAATGTGCGGTAAAGTAAATTCACAAAGCAAATTGCTTGCTATATGGACATTAATTCTGCACCATACATTAAATAAAAGTAAATGTGGTTGTGTGGACGATAAACCTGTGCCACATTTATAAATATTGTTGTATGGGCAATAAACCTACACCATACAGTAAATAAAGTAAATGCGGGGATAAAACCACCACCTAATATATATGAAGTATATAACATATTATATATTGTGGGCAATATAACTGCATCACTATTCAAGATATAATAAGATGGGTTTTAAGATCACACCATCATTTTATTACGATAATATGTGTTACAACGCAATGGGTAATGAAAATTACACCACCATAAAATAACATGATGGGGTATAAAACCGCACTATTCCAAATTACATTACAAAAAAATAAATTAAACAAACATGGATGAAACAATATAAAATTGTGAGAACACAAAAAAGAAAGTTTGCATGTCGTCGTAGTAGTAAAGTGAGAGGAGGCACATGACAGAGAGGAGACAGAGAAATAACCATATAGTGTTGAGTTAGGAAAATTTAGAAGTAAAGAGGAGAGATTATCGTGCTGATAACGTATTATAAAAATAAAATAATCAAAGTATGGGAAGTACCATTGAATATTGGGAGTAGAATTATATTTTCTCTTTGTGGTGTTTACACTAACAGAATTTCTTCTCAGATAGAACTCATTGACCCTCAGATTTCTCACTCTCTCTTCTTTCCTCTCACTCTTCCTTTCTTCTCTTCTCTTCTCCGTTGGTGTGTCTTTGCAAGTAGAAAGGATGCCTATTTATAGACAAAGCAAATGACACCCGTGAGTAATAAGAGAGACATCATGATGCTTTTATCCAACATCATTATTAACTTTTTGACTAATATCTCCTTCTTTTCTTCATGTGGGCTTCACCATTTTCCTTTACAACAGACCAAACATTATTTCTCATTTGTTAGGGCACCAATGCACGCTCAACTTCTTCGCTAAAGACAATGCCGCCTCTACAACTTATCTCCTCTTCTTCGTTAATTGTTAAGGCCAGCAAAGGGGCAAGTTCTGATATCTCCAATGAATTTTCCGACGAGGGAAGGTGCATTTGCACCTCCTTACGGCTTTATGGATCCGCCAATGTGTACCAAGTCGTCTTCTTGAGGATAATATCCTTATAAGTCGTAAATTGCTTTCTTCTTTCTCAAGGAATAGTCGTAAACAAAAATGTATGGCTATAAAATTAGATTTGAAAAAGGCTAATGATAGAATTTATTGGAATTATTTACCTCTTTGTTTATCTTTGGTTTTCATCCTACTTGGATCAATTGGATTTTAAAATGTATTTCTTCTATTACTTTCTTTATTTTAATGGAAAGCCGCATATCCAATTCAAACTTTTAATGATTTTTATAGAGTTTAAAAGTCTGTAGGTATTCAATTTAGACTTTTAAAGAGTATATAAAAGTCTAGTGGTATTCAATTGTGACTTTTAAAAAGTATTTAAAAGTTTGGCGGTATCCAAAAAGTTAATGACTTTTAAAAAGCTTATTAAATGAATGACTTTTCCATACTTTTAAGGCTAATTGTTAAGAGCAAAAGTCTTGCCAATTTACTAGTGACTTTTATCAACTCTATGAAAGTATTTAAGAATTTGTCATCTCTATGAAAGTCACTCACTTAAAAAAAGTCTTTATAAGTATGAATTGGATACACCCCCCAAAATGTTTTTCTCCCTACCTTATAGTTTAAGACAATGTGATCCTTTGTCCCCTTATTTACTTAAGGAGCATTTTTGCTCACCACTTTAACTTAAGGTATATGCTTATCATCCTTCTTATTACTTAACACGTGTTCATAAATCGAAATTTCCACTTAACACGTGTCCCAACTTTAAATTCTATCTAAATAGTCGTCATTTCTAAAATTCCAAGATGATAAACTTTAAATTCCATGTTTAAATCCATTTACTAAACAAGAAACTTTATAAATTCTAAAACATTAATTTCCGTTATTTTTTATTTCATTATTTATAAATTCCTTAATACTTTTAAATTTCCTCATCCGAACACAATGGTGAATTTCTAATGGGTTTAAATAATGGGAGTTTCACTAAAACACCCAAAATGGATGTTGAAATTATAAAAAAACCCAACACCCAAAACACTTTATAAACACACCCAAAAAGTTGACTTTCGAGTTGATTTTGGGTGTGATTCTATGTTTAAATAGTACTTGGATTTTTTTATAAATACATGTCTAAGATTGGGTTTATTTATAAATTTGTATTAAATAATTGTATGGCTGCAATATTTTAAAAGGTTAGATTGTCTCTAAGGTGCACGAATGGAATATTATATTTATAAAAAAAAAAAAATTAGAAGAACAAGAGAGAAATCTTTATCACATCTTGCACAATCGTTTTGGTTCAGGAACTTATGGTGTGTTGCAGTCTTCGCCCCCCAAAAAATCATACCTTAATATGGTATTTCGACTCTCAAAGACAGTGATATTATCTTACATACTCGCGTTGATTGAAGAACTACAAAATGCGGACATAAAACACCATTATCTTATCAGCTGGATACAAAAGCTAGAAGGATACATGACATACTCAGCTCGCTTAGGAGGGGAAGAAACTCAGCTCAAAATTTGTACGAAAAATGAATCGTTATTCAATAGGGCTCCTCTTTTTCCCTTTAAGCTCATTCCCAGATGATAATGGACCGTACAAACCAAGACGCAAGGAACCTTGGAGTAGACGATCATGAAAATAGCTCTTATACAAGTCCCAGAATTCATCTCTGCCAAATAAAATGAATGTAAGGCATAAAGTCGACAGTTTATCCATTCAAAATACGGCACAAAGACATAAAAAAAGAGAGGAAACAATTAGAAGCTTCTCTATGCTTTTGGAACTATCACAGCTCATTCTGACCAGTGTACTTGGAGAAAAAGCAAAAACGACGATTAATATATAATTTTTTAAAACTCCATTAATCATTCAACATCAACATGGATTTGAGCATAATATGATTGCAAAGAATTTATTGAGAAATAATGTATAAGCCCTAGGGAAGGCTCGTCACTTCAGCCTGTCATTAGCGCTAACGAGGGAGGGTTGTATTTGTGTATTGTTTAAGAAGGGGGAAAAAACAGATAAAAGCAGTACGCACCAAAACCAAGACAAAGCAAATGATAAACTGGCAAGAGATAACTCATCATCTTACCTGACTTGTGGAAGCGTAAAGAGGGAATACCCCTTGACATCTGGGTGCATGTCAAGTACAATCACTGATAACCGAGACAGCCCCAATGCCTCAATGTCAATTAGCTTCTTTATCCTGGAAGAGATGAGTTAAATACAGAACAAAATCATTCAATTCAAACAAACAAACTTATACAGACAGGAAAAATAAGGGACAACCATATGACACTGCAAGTCTGCAACCTTGTGAACTCAAAATGAATTAAAAGTGAAACAAAGCATGAGCCAAAAAAAAAAAGTAGAAGCTTGTCCTAAATTTTCCTCATCTTTTTGCAATAAAGCAAAATATAATTTTAGCATCCAACAACCTCAGAAAAAGTAACCATATAGTATAGAAATCAAGTGTTAAGAAGTCTCAGTCCTGCCATAAAGAACCATAATAATTGTAGACTCTTTTTTCCTAATTTTTTCCCCATATAATGCAGGGTAGCGGAAAAATCCTAAAATTGTCTTTCTCTAAACTTCATTTACCCAGAATGGGAAGATTTAGGGAGTCAGTAGAATACGAAATGGTTTCTAGGAAACTATGGGACTCAGATTAGGGCAAAGGCTACCATGACTCAAAGGTGAGTATGATGTAATTTTTAATCAACAATATTCGTTCACTATACAAATAAAAGATAAACCGTTGGAAAATAATTAACCATAGCTCTTGGAGTCAAAACATCTATAGAAACCCTAAAAGATAATTAGAACCATCAAGGGCACACTCCATGGGACCAAGAAATCTTATATGATGCATAATCTTGCCCATAACTCATAAGGGATATTTTCCTTTAAACAAGCTAAGGCTGCTACATCAATAGGTTTAAAAATGAAATCTCAGTCATTACTAATTGGCTGCGTAGGCAGTTATGTTGACTTCACAATTCATAATTAAATTATAAAATTTTCATGCTATATCATGTCCTCTTGGTGGCTTGGCCCTTTAATTTTTTCTGTTCCAAATCATATCTTTATCAATTAACATGTAGAAGTCATCATACAACAAATTATTTTATAACTTATATACATAGCCCAAACTACACAACTAACACCAAATAATAAAACATCCCCACGTTAGTTAAAGAACAGAATAACATTGCATTGTGCTTGTTGAATTGATATACCCTAAAAATAGCATACAAGTACAAGCAGCAATTGAAGGGTAACGTAAGTAAAGAAATGGTTATTGGATTTACAGAAGATTTTGATGACTACCTGTTTGGCGTACCACTAGCGATATTAACGCGGTTCTTTAACAAGGATACCTGCATTAAGAATAAAGGGGATTAAAGAGAAGGTAAACATGTATATGATAAAATTAAGCTAATAGGCTAAGAAGAGAGATGAACATTTCCCAAACTCCACAACCAGCACAATTTTTTTTATAGTAGATAAACATTGTACATATGCTCAACATGCTGTATTATAAGTTTTATAACCAAAGAGATTCTAGTGAGCCTAGTAGATAGTAATAAATGTATGCAGCATTCCTCGTCACTTTGACAGATATAATGCACATAGGAATGCCCAACATCTTGGAGAAATAAGTAAGGTACCTGTTCTTCAACCTTCATATGCTTAGAGAACAGCTTTGCTGCATGGCATTCTTTAGTCAACGACCGCAAGCCCCTGTCGGAAGAGAATACATTGTTGAGATTGAGATGCATGTACCAATTATGCAAATGTCTAGTGTTAACGAGACATTTCTGCTGAACATTAATTTTAAGGGGTTTAGCAATATCAAGTGTGCAAATGGTTCAAGTTACGGTACTGCTAGAATGAAAAAGTTACGTAATTCACCTTAGAAGTTCTATTGACCTCAGGGCAGATGTACTAATAATAAGAATTGCCGGACTCCCAGGATCAATTTTTCCATCCAAGAGATGCTTTTCACAAAGTTCTTCTTTCCATGATGGACCAAAAGCTGCCATCACATGCTTCCCCAAGAGGCTGACATCTTGATCCAAGCTTTCAGACAGATCCAGAATACATTTGTCTGCAAAATTTTATAGATTAGAAAAATAGATTTTTGATCTTTCATCAGGCGAGGGCTTTCTATTTTTATTTTTTATAACTTTGCATGACTGCTTCAAAGTAATCCTAATCCATAGCATTCCACAGATGCAAAAGTTTAATGCTGAATTGAAAGTCAATGCCAATACTAAACTAACTTGACTGGATTTTGAAAGGTAGCTTCTACTAATGGCACAAATAGGTCGAACTACCACATCTTATCCTTGATTTTTGGCATAGTTGAATCATTTACCTGCCCTTAGGAAGAAAACTTTATCCTCTCATCTGATTGGAATTTTTAGGGGGGAATAACTCCCACAGAAAGAAGTTACAGTAATTAAAAATTTTCCATCTCATCTGCTATGTGTTTGCTTAAAATGCAAGTTCAAACACCTTGATTACCTCACATTTTTGTCTGAAGAATATAAATTTGAAAAAAAAAGTGATATCAGACAGCATAAACAATTTACTGTTACAACGAACCTATTATATATTCACAAAATTGATCGCCACCTGTAACATTACATTCTCCAAGTATCCTTTTTTATAGGTTGTGGCTAATACAATACCAAATTTTCTCACCAACCAAACAGAGTACATAATTACATAATAATATGAAAAACGTACCCAAATGAAAATAAAGAAAGAAATGGTACCATTGACGGACTCCAACTCGAGAGAAGAAATCTTAACGCCATTGCCAGATTGAAATTGATCCAGAAAGAAGCTGAGCTGGGCTGAAGCCGATGCCGGTTGTGCCTTCGTAGCATTGCTCAAACTGTTGTTGTTGTTGCTGTTTTGGGTGTTTTGATTGCTAGCTTTGTCTTCGATTGGGTTTTGATTGTTGACCCGTTGCTTCTTCTTCTTCTCCTTCTTCCTCTTGGTGTTGTTGGGGCCAAGCGGCTTACCCTTATTCTTAGGGTTTCTGAGAGACAGCTTTGAATGGTTCTTTGCTTTCCCGGTCGCCATTTGCAGTTTGCTGGTGCTTGCTTGCTAGTTCCAACGGCTAACTCTCTGCAACTGCAACTGTGTGTTTAAGCAATCGGCAATTAGGGTTGCTAGTTTCTTACCGGTTAGTTAACCGTCTCCTCTCCTCTCCTCTCCTCTCCTGCTTGTATTTTCCCGCTGCTGGTTAGCTAGGGTCACAACTGGAGTACAACTATTCTTTTTTATTTTTTGTATTTTTTATAATTTTTTATATTTTAAATATCTCTTCTATTGCCACGGGAAATACTTCTATGAAATGAGTCTGATGTACTACACTCTATGACATGCGTAATAGAACTTTAACATTAAAAACAAAGAGTAATTAGCCTTTTCACACGAACTTCTGCGTTTATAAGAGGTTTTTTTTAAAAAATTTAAATTTATTTTAGAATTAAAAAAGATAATGGGTAGTTGTGTTCCGTAAAAATAGGATCCATTATCTTATTTTTCTTTTAATTTTAATTTTTTTAATATGAAAAATTGTGAATTTTCCATATTAACCTCATTTAATTAATAATTTCAATTATTAATGTTTGCATGAACTAGGCATTTTCTGGTAATTTGAATGTTTCACAATTTTCTACCTTTTGCTTTATATATATAGATGTAATATTTTTTTTTTTACTAGATTATCGGCTACTATATTTACTTATTGATAACATGAGTAATAGTGTAATTATATAGTTATCTTAGATAATAGGGCTCCTCTACCAAGAAATTTTACTTTGTGTTTGATCATTTGTATACAAATCATTGAGAATCACCCTCAATTTCAATACGAGTTAAGATGAAATGCCCAATGAAGAGCTTGTCGTAACTTGTAACGCAAACCTCATGGTGCAAAACAGATCATGTTAGGCCATCTCCAATGAGGGCTCTATTTAGGGCTCAACCATCACAAGGCTCCAATATATACAAACTCTCTTTAAAAAGACATTCCCAATGGTGCAAATTTGGGGCTCTAAAACTTAAAGCCCAACCGGAGTAGTAACTAAATATATGAGCTTGGTTGAAGCCCTTGAAACCGAGTGGGACCCACGAATTGAAAAAGTTGCAGCCCACTTTTGTGCTATTTCCCACTTGCCTGCAACTGTACAAGGCATACTTGCCTTAAATTTGGTTGTCCATTTGCATGTTGGCCCACATGGCATACTTGCCTTAAATTTGGTTTTTCCATTTGCATGTTGGCCAAAATATAACCAAATTTACAAAGCTGTGTCAACAACTCTATTCCAACTTTGGGATGAGATTGGTATCTATGAAATAAAATGTTGATTTCCAAATTTGGTCCAAATTTTGATTTTTTGTTGTTGAAATGTTATTACAAAAAAAAAAAAAAAATAATAACATAACATGAACAAACATTAAAGTAAAATATTTAACCAAAAAAAAAAAAACCACGTAAATCAAATTACATCATAAAAAAATATAGAGCCCGCCATGAATATAGAGCCTTCTATTGCGGAAGAGATTCCTTTAGAGCCCCAAAGATTCCATCGGAGCTCTAAATGGGGCTTTATAAACCCTTTTTAGAGCCCCAACCATTGGGAATGACCTTATACCATCAAAATTAATTTTGTGAAAATTAAAATTTTTCTCAATGTTCTAATTACTGCACCGAATATAGACCGAAGTATCTCATAATACGTGTAATACGGATTAACTGCTGTTTTCTTTATTATTGATAGGAATTCTCTGGTTAAGACCCTAGTTCCAACCATAACTTTTTACATTTTTAATACAAATCTGTCAATAATGTATGAGAAATTACTGAGTCAATAATATTATAGGATATAGCTTTAGAAATAATATTTTGTAAAATAAATTTATTTCTTTGTTCCCCAAGAGAAAGGCCCAACTTTCGACCACAAGAAAGAAAAAAGAAAGAGAAAGGCCCAACTCTAAAAAAGGCCCAGCTCCAAAATAAATCATTTCTTTGTTGCCAGAAAGCCGAGCACAACACCAAGCACGCCCTCTAGGCAGTTGTCTTGTCCTCAGCCTCCACACGGCGATCTCCTCCAACGACGACGTCGTCTCACCTTCCGGAGAAACATCATCAACTTCTGCTGTCCATCTCCCCAATCTGTACACTGCCACGTGTCCCTTCCCTCCTCCCCCACTGTTCATCTCGCTGCTTCTTTGAACTCGCCGGAAATTTCTATCCGACCGGTCCCTGCAAATTCTGGTCTTCTCCGTCCCGCCCGCTGCTTCTCTACAACTAGAACCCACAATTGACAAATAGCTCCTGGCTTTCGAGGATGCCGTTTTGTTCTCACTGTAGAAAGAAAGTCAGTGGAATTAACGATGGTGGTAGAATGTGGGTATCAAATTTTATTTATTTATTTTAATGATGGAGTTTCATGTCGTTAATATGAATTTGATTATGATTTCATTTTGTAATTGTTTGTAGATCGTGTTCTGGGTGTGGGAAGGTTTTAGAGTATGACCTTTACTCTGAGGAACCCACATTCGTTAAAAATGCGGCCGGCCAGGTATTGGTTTTCTTCTTCCGCTTCTGGGTTCTCATTCTGGTTCTGTTTATATTTGACACCAATTGCAAGCTATTATTGGCTTTGTATTCTGTTTAATGGTTTTTGGTTGTGCGTTTGCAGAGCCAATTGGCTGGAAGAAATGTACGTAGCATTCAGAGTGATGACTCAGCTTCTCGTGCAAGGATATTCGAGAATGGTATGGTTTGTTAAGCTTTTTCTTTTCAAAGGTTTGGCTGTTTGTTTTGTTGAAGCTTTCCTAACCCCCCATGCACTATTAGCCTATGATTTCTGGGAGATATAAATACTTTATGATGGATAAGTTCCACTTTTCAAGTTCTTTTTAAAATAAAGAAAGAATCTTTTCTTTTTTTGGGTTCAAAGAAATGCTAACTTCTGCGTGGTGGGCGGACAGCTAGAATTTTCTCTCTAGGTGTGAGGTTAAATTATTGCATAAAGATCATCATTTTCTTTAGAAAGTCTGCTTGGAGACTTGGAGTAGACATGAAACTCGAACATAGAAAGGTTGTGGGGATCATGTGTTAGCATTTCTGGTCAAATCAACTAGAAGACAACCTTTAGGTTGCATTTTTCAATTGTATGTGTTTTTTATCCAATCATTCACAGACTTGACAGCCGAGAACAAGCATAGAAGGGAGATCAACTACTTTGCATTTGTCTACAGACTTAATGTTCTTATTGCATTTAATACAATGGTACTTGAGCCTCTTGAGTTCATTGAATATTACTATTTTGGTTGAAATCACCTGCCAGTAACCAAGGCAGGTCATATTCCAGAGCAAAGACTGGAGCCAGTCTATATCACTGCTTTGCGATTTTCTTTTAAACTTAGCACATTCTGTTGCTGTTGATTATTTTTATTGATGTGAAGAGTGTGTCAACTTCCACAAACTAAGATGATTAACTTTCACTTCCACTTTGAAATTTTAATAAACTTTAACATGGCCAATTTTTATCAAGGTTATGTAAAAATTGATGGTAAAAATTTACTGAAGATAAATATGATTTGCCTTATTAATCTGCTCATTTATTCTTTATTTCATTTTGCAGCTGAATACGAATTAAGATGCATGAGAAATGCTTTAGATATGGGAGAAAATGAAGAAATTGTTGACATTGCTAAGCGCTTTTTTAGAGTATGTCTACTTGTAATAATTAAGCTTCATTGTTGCTAGTTATAGAGAACTTACGAACATCTTAATCTGTGATCTGCTTTGCCTTTTAAAGATTGCAGTAGACCGGAATTTCACCAGGGGGCGTAAATCAGAGCAAGTGCTGGCTTCGTGTCTTTACATTGCATGTCGGTAAGGAAACCCCTTATTACTTTTGCATATTATTAATTTTTATTTCCTCATGTTATTCTTGAAAAAATGAGCTTGAATAACTTCTCTTTGGTGCTTAGAGAAATTACATTAACAGAACACTTAGGGGTGGTAACCAATGTAGTCAAACTCTGTACATAGAAAGTTTAAAAACATAATTGAAAAAAAAGAATCTTAAAGAAGAATGTTTAAACTCGTAAAAGCTTCTCTGTTCATGTACCATCAAACTTCAACTGATATGTCAAGAGGATTAGAGTTGCTTATTCTAATTCCGTCCTTAATCGTCTCAAATTCCTGGATTGGAAGCGATGATCAGGTTGTTTTAAGTCGCTTCACCCCACCCTTTTAGCATCTGTTATTCTTAATCTGTCTAAAAGTTCCACTTAGTTTTGGTAGGGCTGTTTGATTCATATAGTTGTAGTTTAGATGTTTGACCACTTGTCCACATAGTGTTGTACTGGTTTTGTTTGTAATAGAAGTTGTTTCTTGTGGAAAAAGAAGATATACATTAGGAATGTGAAAGGCAAGTTAGGTATATGTCTGACCTGAAACATTGTCACACCATGATATTGAAGAGCTAAGACCATGGCATTAGCCTTTCCATTTAATATATGAAAAATGTAATTGAACCAGATGGTTGGATTACATTATTTGCCAGACTTTGGGTTCCTATTGGCTCAGATTTTTACACTACCGTATGTCTCTCAGGTCTACTGGGATTTCCATTTAATATATGAAAAATGTAATTGAACCAGATGGTTGGATTACATTATTTGCCAGACTTTGGGTTCCTATTGGCTCAGATTTTTACACTACCGTATGTCTCTCAGGTCTACTGGGATTATTATATCAGGGCTCCCCCAAGACCCACTTGAATTCATAACATTGTTTGCTTGATGTATGACTTAGGGTGAGGATTTTATTAGATTTTGAATTCTTGTTACATAGTCTAGAATGCTGATTGGTTAAGTTATTTTTTTTTGTGGGAATTTATGGAAGATTCAATCTAGAATCAAATTAACAACTAATGAATAACGGAAACAAAAACAAAGGAATTTGTTTGTTTACGTTCTTTAGGGTGAATATGGTTTGTTTGGTTTTTCACAGTTTAGGGCCATCATTATAAATGAGAGGTCATAATATCATTAGCACATTTCTCAAGTGGTAGAGTTTTTATTGAGATTACATTATTGCTTTAGGCAGTACATTGATACAATTAGTGAAGTGAAAGACTAACCATTAGAGAGATGTTTCTGTCACAATACTGCATTTGAAAGTGAGTACTGTATAGATTGACCAGAACGGCTGCTTATATTTCTAAAAACAATTTATGTGCTAAAGATTCTTTTGAAAAAATTAATCTGCTGAAATGGAAAGAACTGAAAAAATTGAAGGTAAGCAAACGCTCAACCTAAAGCACATTTGGATAGCATATGACCAAGTCAAGTGTGCTTTGCAGAATACTAGACAACTCACATGCACATTTTTGTGTGGATGATTCATAGGGTGGGTGGGTGGGTGGAAACATAATAGAAGATAGAACGAGAATGAAAATATTTGTAAACTGAAGGTGGCCTTGTCAATAATTCAGGATAAGCTGCAAGTGCAGTGATGTGAATTAAAAATTTTGTTAAGTGAAGTATGCTGTTCAATGATGCCGCAAAAAATATCTAATGGCTAACCCCATTATATCCATTCTTGGTTTAGTTGAGTCTTCTGTTACCCTTTTTTAGAAGAGACGAAATTTTATTGCATAAGACAATAAAAGCGTGCGTGGTCCAGATATCATTCAGAAGAGTAGAGTAGATGATATTTTCCATTAGGAAGATATCATTAAGGTGAGAGTACACAACATTGGCCTTTGTATCAGTAAGTCAGTAGATAAATGAGCATATTGGACATGCTGCTTGACCTGTTCATTAGAAGTATCTGAGTGCCACAAATAAGGATTACAGGCTAAAAGGGTTTATACATATCCTTAATCGAAGGAATTGTAATTTTCCTTTTGTTGTTGTTTTCTTTTCAAGATTCCTACTGAAAATCAAACATTATTAGAGATGTGTGATTTATATATTACTTGGCTCTTATGAAAGTCTTGGCATATTGGTGTTATGCAGTTATGCTAATTATATCCTGTTGTATTTATATTTTCTATCCATATTCAATTTCAGCCATAATGATATGCACTATTATTGAATCTGAATCTTGTCTTGCAGGGAAAAGAGGAAGCCGTATCTTCTTATTGATTTTTCAAATTACTTGAAGATAAATGTGTGAGAAAGCCTTACCTTTTTCTTTATCCCTTTTCCCTTTTCCCTTCTCATTTCACTTTGTTCTCCCTTGATTCTCAGTAATGGCATTCTGATTGACTTGATTTGAATTTAACCTTCAACAGTTTCCTTCTGGATTTGATATTGTTTCATATAATTTGATTTGCAGTTATGTGCTAGGTGCCGTGTTTTTGCAGCTTTGCAAAGTTTTTATGCTTGATGAGCACCCAATTGTTCAAAAACCTGTTGATCCATCTTGGTTTATTCATAAATTTACAGAGAGTAAGTGTCTGAAAATCCTGTGTTAATGAAAAGCTTTCTTACTCTAGGATATAAATTAAATGCAATTGAATGTGTACAAAGTATTTGTATCCTCCTGTTCCAAACACAAGGCCAGCACTTTTTAAGCGGTGTTGAAATTGTTTTGACTAAGTGGTTATGTTGAAAGATACATATGTAGTTATTATTTATTTCTAAAAGCTTTTGCTTTTTACAATACAACAGAAATATCAAATGAAACAAAATGAGTTGTCATATGCTTTTCTGATTTGATGGGACTGTTTTGACTAATAGGTACTGTTGCTATAGTTGTACATCCTGTATGTTTAACACCTCTGTTCAGTGCTTTGTTTAATCTTTTGAGCAATTTTTACACTTAGCCACTTAAAGTTTGCAGGTAGAAGTAGCTGGTCAGGGGCTTTAAACTTATGACCCTCATGCTCATAGATAGTTTGGATGTCTATTCATAATGTTTACTTCCCAGCTACACAACTCCAATTCTTTGCTGCCTTAATTTCACTATTTATTTTCATTATGTAATTTGATTGTGAGAATAGATCTGACATGCCTTTTGCCTTTTGCCTTTTGGTACATATATTTGAGTTTGCTGGTATACTCCATGGCTTAAGTATAATATTCAAAACCTGTGAATTTTTTTGTTTTGGTAAGAAATCACTATAAATTTGTTTTAAAAAATAATAAATGAAACTTTAGTCATGTGAATTAATCATGGGTAATAATAATTGAAACTCTATTCTTGTGAAATTATTCACTTGTATAATGTCGAATCTGCGTTTCTGTTACCATTCTGGTTCTGGTTTAAAGTAGTTAGCTAGATGTAAAATTATGTGACTGCATTTAAACAGGGAGACATAACAGTTACAAATATGCTTTGTAGGTTTACCAGGAGGAACAGATAAAGGGGTTATCCAAACTGCACAGCGGATTATCACTAGCATGAAACGGGATTGGATGCAGGTATGTTATCCCTTTTCAGTATCGCATTTAATGCATTTTGGGTGTCAGGTGTAGTTGTAAATCATCAAGGAGGTTGAATGTATCATATGACAGATCTTCAATTTTTTACAGACAGGCAGAAAACCCAGTGGGCTATGTGGTGCTGCATTATATATATCTGCACTTTCACATGGTCTCAAGTGTTCCAAGTCTGATATTGTAAGTCGGACTCAATTGCTACTGTGATGTGATAACGAAATTTTGTAATGAGTTGGTTTCTTTGTGTATACTCGTTATCCCAGTTAGAATTTTCTAGTCATTGTTTTGGTTCAATTTTCTAATACAATTTTTTTCAGTAATAAAATATTGTGCGTGGTTTCTTTATATTGTTTCAAGTTGTGAACATCTTGTTTCTTAGTCATATTCAGCCCTGTGCTCTGAATATGTTGTTCTGTCAAATTTTTCTTGGGAAAGATATGTAACACTTCATTTATTTATTTCATTTTATATGATGTTATGTTGTATATTTTTATCAGATCAGAATTGTGCATGTTTGTGATGCAACATTGACCAAGCGGCTGGTTGAGTTTGAGAATACAGAATCTGGAAGCTTGACGGTATGTTTCTTGCAGTGAGCCCATGTATGGTAATTTGCAACATTTCCATTTTGGCAATATAATCTCAATATATGAGTACAGCATTAGGTGCAACTAAAATTTGAAATGTCCTACATCTATTTCCCAACTTGCCTCATGGGACATGACTCCATCTCCACATTTTTCTGGACAAAAAAACAATGAATGGTAACAGCAATTTGACATGTTAATGCATTTCTATGTGTATTGCTGTAGTATTTTTTGGTCATTTCTGTCTATTTGTTTTTTCAAATATGGTTTTTTTTCTTCTGGTCATGTGTATTGCTATTCTTATAAGGTGATTGTTGTACTGTTTTTGAGATTTAAATAAAAGTTATGTTTCTTGTAAACAAAAAATAATAATGTAGATCTAACAGCTATTCCATATATGATGTTTTCCTTTCCATGCATTTGTTTGTGATAATACCAGTATTGCACTCTTTTTCTGACTATAGATTGAAGAGTTCCTTGTAAAGGCAAGGGAGCTAGAAGAATTAAGCCAAGAACCAAACTTGGCAGTAAAAGTTGATAACACAGATGAAGTCCTTTGTGAGCATAAGGGTAGTGCAAAACCTTTTCAATATGGACTTTGTAGAGTTTGCTATGATGACGTGAGTCCAAATTCGCTTTCTTTTCTTTTTTTCTCCTGAAGTTCTGTTTATCATTTACATAGACATAATGTGTATTGTGCTTTAACGTGTTGGTGTAGTTTATGCAAATTTCAGGTGGACTTGAGGGAGGGTCTAATCCTCCAGCTTTCCAGCGTGCCGAAATAAAGAGATTGGAGGAAGCATCTACTGAGGAAAATGCTAATGACTCTGGTGTTGATAGCATGCCTTGTCAAAGCCTAGACAACAGTAAAGAGATATTAAATGTAACTATTAAATTTAGTTATTTTCTGCTATGTATTAAGTAATTATTAGCAAAATAACAATAGGAATATTTCTTATGTGAAAAATGACTGTTTGAATTCTTTGCACGTAATATGTGAAACCCTTTAGAGAAATGGTGATTCTTGATTGATTGCTGCACTAATACTTTAGGCAGCATTAATTCTGCTTTCCGTTTCTTAATATTAATGGGCATGACTTTTAAGTTGATGATTTGGCGTTGAAAGGTATTTATTTTCCTTGTTTGGGTTAATTAGGTTATTCCACTTTATTGAGATGTTTGTGGAATGGAACTGAAGGTTGGGTGCCTGTTATGCTAGTGTCCTTGGGAAATGCTATTGAAGGACCTGCTCCATTATGTTTGTTTAGGTGTTTGTAGATGGGGAGAGGTATAGTAGGGTTGGGAATTCTCTATAAGGCTAGTTTTCTATATCGAAATAGATATTTAAGATAGTTTGTTTTGGGAACTTTTGGTCCTTGTCAGTTTTCTATGATAACTCTTCTACCTTGTACAGCTTAATTACTATCCTCCCCACTCATATGAAAAAGTTTGTCTGATGTTTATTTTTCCCCATTCCATTTTGATAGTGTGAGAAAGAACCGAACAATTCAAAAGCAGAAAGTGGGGGCGAAGGATTGCAGTTTACAGAGCCTGAAAGTGTTGGTAGGTTCCTCTCTCTCCCTCCTTTCATTTTCATTTTGCAGTCCCATAAATAGTATCCCAATAAAGGGTCTTATATATGCATCTTTATTTTACTGGAAGGGTTGCTGAAAAATGTGATGTTTTAGGTGATGATACGGTGAAAACAGGTGCTGAGGGGGGTACTGAAGATTGTGATGAACCTGACAACCTTTCGGATATTGATGACGCAGAGGTGCGGAATTACTAACATAAATGTGTCAATTTTTTTTATTTTCTTTATAAAAGTAAATTTTATTGTAACAGACCCTTGAGTTCCAGATACCAAACTCTTATTTGGGGCTGCTCCACAGTGATATAAAAATTGATTATTAGTGATTTTATAATCTAAGACTAACAGCAACACTGGACAGGCACTTTAATTTGCACCAAGTTCTAATTGTGCTAAAATTTCTGTTGGTTGACTCTGCCACATTGTACGGTTGTTTTGCCACATTGTACAGTTGTTTTTTGTCAGATCCAATAACAGCAGGGGTTATATATTTTTCTATTTTCATGATGTTTTAACTTTCATGTTGTTATTTTATCACGCAGTAACTTTACCAGAGTTGGGTTTGCCCTTTAATTTTTGTTTTACTGAAATGCTATAGATACTGATATAGAAAGTGTTGCTTATTTTGTTTGCACTTCAAAATACAACTGATTAGCTATCATAATGATTAATAATGAAGCACAAATGTCATTGCTCAACGCCTCTTCTTAGGGCTTATTCCCGTTGTTTTAAATTTTGTATGCCCTACCTTGGTTCTCACATCAAAGAGTGTGATCACATATGTTATTATCTCAAATGATGGTTTCCACTGATTGGTTACTAATGTATCTACCATGATGACCACTTTCTGTTGAGAGTAGTTCATAATTGTTTATTTGTATTTTTTGCCGTGAATTGTTTACTTGTTTTTATGCATGCATAAACTATACAAGTTACTTCATTTTGGTTCATTTGCTTGTAGTTTTGGGTCATTACTGAAGATTTAGGCTTTGTGCAGGTTGATAGCTACCTTCTAAATGAAGAGGGGAAACGTTACAAAAAGATGATTTGGGAAGAAGTGAACCGGGAGTACATTGAGGTACCATAATTGACTCTGCATTTATTTACCATTTCTTGATTCTTCTATGGATTGTAGTTTTGCATCCCACAGATGATGAAAAAAGTTTCATATCAAATATATCTCTATGGAACTGAAAAGACTGGTTTTTGGTTCCGGAGGTTAACATTATTTTGTAACCGCACGATTTAATGTAGTTTACTTTCTTACTTGCTAGAGTAAAGAAGCAAGCAAGAGCCCCAAAACCTTAGCATTTTAGGCAGAATGTGTAATGGCTTGGGGACTAGAAAGTCAGTTTTGTCTACATGTATTGTTACTTGTTACATCATTTAAAGACTGTTACTTTACAGTCTAAGTAGCGAACCTACTTTGTGTTTGTGTCTAATGTTAAATAACTCGCCTTCTAGATCTTGTTCTTTGATGTAACCGACGGCAATAGACTAAACTAGCAAATATTAAAACACTTAGAAACACACAAGAATTATACTGGTTCGGCAGAACTTTTGCCTACGTCCAGTTGTGATTTCTCTAGGTAGAGAAATCACCGCTCCTTTGATTAATAATAGAGATTACAGAACTTTTGCAACCCTAGAACTAATCTCAAAACTCTTGGCTGTCTCTGGCTGTTTTTCCTCTCTTTAAAATAAGCCTTGCCACACCCTATTTATAGATATAGAGTTGGCTTACATGTCCCAAGGCTGATTGGATTCCTATTCCTAAGTAGATTAGGAAATTACACTTATCCAAATCCTAATAGACTTCTAGAAATCCAAACTTGAATTGAATAAGGAAAACTGAAATTCTTTCCTAATCCCTCTAGGACAAGAATTGGTATACCTCTAATTTTCCTAAAACAATCCTAAACCAACTAGGACATATTTGACGAGCCAAAATCCTAACAATCTCCACCTTGGTGAGTCAAACCAAGTCTTGATCGTTGCACCCCAGAGTATCTTTGAACCTCCTTGAAGCAGCTCTGGAAATCTTCAAGAGTCTTCACCTTGGCAATCTTCTTCTTGCCTCATTGCACCTCAAGTGAGGAGGTGCTCCACTTTAATCAATCAACGAGATTGATCAAGTTCAAGCAATGCTTGAACTTCTTGGCCGGCACTATCTTTGTAAGGAAATCTGCAGCATTGTCATCTGTATGAATCTTTTCAATCCAAATCTCCTTAGACTCCACCCAATTTCTGATTCTGTGATATCTTGCTTCAATGTGCTTTGATCTTCCAGAAAAAACTTGATTCTTTGCCAAGTGAATGGCACTTTGACTATCACACTTCAGCTTCACAAAATCTTGGGTGATTCCCATTTGACTTACCAAGCCATTAAGCCAAATTGCTTCCTTTCCAGCTTCGGCCAATGCAATATACTCTGCCTCTGTGGTCGACAAAGCTGTAATTGGTTGCAGTAGTGCCCTCCAACTGATCGGTCCTCCTGCGCATGTAAACACATAACCAGAAGTTGACCTTCTCTTGTCCAAGTCCCCTGCATAATCAGCATCCACATATCCCAACACCCTTGCATTTTCTTTTTGCTTCTCAAACATAATCCTTTGTCGCCAAGAACCCTTCAAATAACGCAAAATCCATTTGACTGCATCCCAATGTTGCTTTCCTGGATTTCCCATGTATCTGGAAACGACACTGATTGCTTGAGCTATGTCTGGACGTGTGCATACCATTGCATACATAAGGCAGCTCACGGCATTAGCATAACGAACCTTCTCCATTACTTGCTGCTCTTCCTCGGACTTAGGACACTGTTGCCCACTTAACTTGAAGTGAGCTGCCAAAGGAGTCGAAACTACCTTTGCTTCTTTCATGTTGAACTTCTCAAGAACCTTCTGAATATACTTGGCTTGTGATATCCAAATCCTTCCAGCGGTCCTATCTCTCTGAATTTCCATGCCAAGGATCTTCTATGCTGCACCTAGATCCTTCATGTCAAACTCCTTGCTCAACATCTTCTTCAAGTCTTGAATTCTAGACTTGTCTTGACAAGCGATTAGCATGTCATCCACATATAGCAATAGCAATCAAGGATTAAAATATCGGCCGATACACTGATATATCTGCCGATATATCGGTATTTTCAACAATCGACATCGATACTGGGGGTTAAGGCCATATATTCCTCTATATCGACGATATATCCCCGATAAGTGTGATATCCTCAATATTTTGCCGATATCCCCGATATTTCCCGATACCCATAACAAAACCAAAAAAAAAATTCAAAAGTTTTAAAGGCAATTGAAGCAAATTGAAACCCAAAAATAGCTAATCCTTGCCCAGAACCCCGATAATTTATTAATATGATCGAAGAATCTATGCACAGTTCACTGCCCACGTACCTCTAATCCATCTGAAGAGGACATGGCGATCAGTTGATCTATGAGCATAAGAACTAGACCTAGTACTAACTCAAATGAATTTTATAATGGCTATGGTTATGTCATGTCTTATTATAGGGGAATTAGTTATGGAGCTCAAGATGATAAAAAAAGATTATGGACCTACTAGTTGGTTAATCATAACTATCCCATATATGGGAAGACAATAGGGAGTCCAAGAGAGACTTATGTGCATCATGTTCAAACATGGCTTACAAACTGCTCGGGTTACATGACTTGGTATGACTATTGTATGAATCTAGATGGTTGTTCCTCATAGGAGCTCTTCATTTATGTAAATGGACACTTATCTAAATTGTAATCCAATATTTAAACAAATTATGGATTTATGCACGATTTATTCATTCTAATTAACATTTTATTCTCGAACTTTTCATTAACGCGCGTTACATATTACTTATATTTCATCATATGTATATCTTATTATTAGTAAATTTTGAGTTTTATTTGTTCAATACATTCATTGATAATGTACATAACATTTATGAAAGTTTTACACCAATATTATGTGTTTCAAAGCCTATATCTGTCATTTTTGTTGATTTTTTCCCGATACCT